GGATACGGTACCTCTCACTTGTAACCCCAATTAAGGAATCTCCGTTGACCTCCAGAATCTGGTCTCCTGGCTGCAGGCGCCCTAGAAAAGAAAAACTAATGGCTAGAAACTGCAGAAAATACAGCTTGAAGGGACTGGGAGAGGTTGGGCAGTTCCTCCCTTTGCCCAGAGACAGGATGAAATATGCATAGGTCATTCCTGAGATGCTCATCCAACCTGTTTTTCAAGATGTCCATAGATGAAGTTTCTGCAGCCGCCCTGAACAACCGGTGCCAACGTCACAGCACTGCTGCTGTAGGAAGTTACAACAGTAAATGCAAAAAAAAAAAAAAAGCAATAAAGCTTTTACTTAACTCAATTTGAGGTCACGTAGAAAACCATGAGTGGCACCTCCACCTGTTCTGGATTTATTTTTCTTTATTAGATGGAAAATCATGTTGTAACATTGGAAAAAAAAGAAAAAAAACCCCAAACTCAAAACAACACAAACCACACAACAAAACCTTTCTGGCTTAAGCTATGAGAGGTGAACTCTGCAGAGCCCTGCCTAATACCAACTTATTTGAAGATACTCAGAATGAAATCAGTGGCCCAGAGCAGAGCTGAATTTGGAAAAGGAACTCAGGTAATTTTGGGACTTCAGGCAGCGAGTGGCTTGTGGCAAAGGACAGGCAGCCAAGTGAAGTTCTTTGTGTGGTAGGGATGGATCCTGCTTTAAAGACATGAAGCAATCAGGTATGTGCTGAGAACCCAAGACAAGGCTGCCATTGGATATTAAAACAATTGCCACAGTAAAAAATAACCCCACTGCTAGAAAATCTGGGAAAACACACCTGAAATGTCTAATAAGGCAACACATAAAATAAATACACTGTATTCTGGCTTTTCTCAGACAATGCGGTACTCTGCGCTATGTTTAACTCACCATCTGCATAAGCAACGCCCCCTGGAAGGATCCTCTTGACGTAAACTCCATATTCTTCTCCACTGAGCTCTTTGATGCCACCAATTACCTTAATACCTGGAGGAAGAGGAGCGCCCATGAGACAAAGGCAGAAGAATCACAGTTTCCATGGGCCATCTCAGAGGGACGCAGCCTTGGGTACAGCTCCCGGGCACCATGGCACCACCTGACACCCCTTTTAAAAACCACTTGTGGAAAGTCCCATGTATCCCCCACACTATGCAAGCAGCAGCAGAAGCAATAGGATGCGGCCGCTGACACAACGACTAAAGGCATCTGATAGCACCTGCTTGGAGCAACAGCCACGGAGACCAAACTTCCAAGAAAGGCATAGGCAAGAAGCAACCACTTTCTCCAACCCAATTTCATAGACCCACAGACTGGTTTGGGTTGGAAGGGACCCATAAAAGCCATCTGGTTCAACTTCCCTGCCATGATCAGGGACATCTTCAACTCAATCAGGTTGCTCAGTGCCCCATCCAACCTGACCGTGAATGTTTCCAAGGATGGGGCATCGACCACCTCTCTGGGCAACCTGTGCCAGGGTCAAACCACCCTCAGCATAAAAAAATCTTCCTTATATCTAGTCTGCATCTCCCCTCTTCTAGTTTAAACTCATTACCCCTTGTCCTGCCCCTACCTGACCTTGTAAAGAGTCCCCCCCAGCTTTCTTGTAGCCCCTCCAGGCACTGGAAGGTGCTATAAGGTCTCCCTGGAGCCTCCTCTGCTCCAGGCTGAACACCCCCAACTCTCCCAGCCTGTCCCCATAGCAGAGGGGCTCCAGCCCTCTAAGCATCTTCATGGCCTCCTCTGGACTGGCTCCAAAATGTCCAAGTTCATAGAATCATAGGCTCCTTTAGGTTGGAAAAGACCATTAAGATCATCAGCTCCAACCTTCCCTCTCTGATGGGAAAGGATCCTATTCTGCTGTGGATGCCTCAGCCTGTGCTCACATCTCTGTTAAGACTTGCCATAGGAAACACAACTGGGGACAAATGTTTCTTCAAGGTGCAATATCTGGACAAGCTCGAGGTTCAGTACAGTGGTGAGAACATCCCAGCTGCAAGATCTCCTGCCTGCCAGGCCCCAGCAGCACCTCCACCACAGCCTGTGAAGATGCCACCAACAGCAGAGCTGTGCATCAGAAGCCACCCGAAGAGCAACCACATTTTATCAGCATTTGGCCCTATGAGGAGCAGTCAAGAGGCAGGAGACGGGGTGCAGAGATGACCTTCGGTGCAGCTCCAAAACCCCCTGTTGCAGCACCTTGGCAAAGGGCTCATGCTCTGCACAGGCACCTCGCCATCCACAGGACCTGTCCCTGCTGGTATGTGTAAGCTGGCTGGCAGGAAAAGGCGTAAGAGACTTATTTGCCCAGGGATCATTAAGTTGTGCTTTGAAGATCCAGGCTGTGGACAGAAGGATTAAAAAGCCCAGCTTTAATCAACAAATCTCCCCCAAGAGCTGATGATCAGGCATTTTGCTGCTCTGGACAGGAGGGCACACTGAGGACAGGCAGCACCGTAGAGAGGGACACTGCCAGCCTGGAGCCAGCTCTATCCTCTGGCTGCTCTGAGCCTTGGTGAGGTCCTGGGGTACACCTCAGGAACACCTCCCTCCAGGGGAGCAGAGCACAGCAGCTTCCCCAAAACACAAGGCCCCTTTCTGAAACAAGTAGGAGGGAAGAGGAGCGGACCGTGGATCAGGATTACTTGGGACAATGACACTATTTCCATTCCTAGTTCCCTTTTATAACCCAAGCTCTGCTCTGAAGACCCTCACAGT